ACCCAGGGATCCCCCCAATCTTGGTTTCTAATACCATTCTCCAATAAAAGAAACCAGGGCTCCTTGGAGAAGTGGCTGATTCTAGGACTGGGGCCCTCGTTGCATACAAGGTAAGCCTGGACCATTTTGTAGTGCCAGGACAAAAGGAAATGCTAAAAAAAAGTATGTGTGTGTTTGGGCAGGGAAGGCAAGGGACAGGGGGAAGAGAAATGTTTTAAAGGAGCCAATTTGAAAGAGCTCATAGTGGCCAAAGCTGGCGCAATTTGAGGGAAAACCCCAATAATAAAGTATTGAATGTTTTTTTAAATTTTTATTTATTTATGATAGTCACACACAGAGAGAGAGAGAGAGGCAGAGACACAGGCAGAGGGAGAAGCAGGCTCCATGCACTGGAAGCCCGACGTGGGATTCAATCCCGGGTCTCCAGGATCACACCCCGGGCCAAAGGCAGGCGCCAAACCGCTGCGCCACCCAGGGATCCCTAAAGTATTGAATTCTAAACCAACATATAAAATAAATATCCATGAGTCCTTACTGACATGAATAAATGAGTAGTTTAAATAAATAAATGAAGGATTAAAATAAATTTAAATAAATAAATTTTAATGAATAATTCAAATAGATAGGTAGATAGATAGATATATGAGTGAGAAGAGACAAATCACCTGTTCAGTAATTCATGGAGATAGTTTTGCTCTCGCCCCAGGAGGCAGATATTAATGCCACATCTCGAGTGTTAATGCAGTTGGTAATTTTCTTCCAAAGAATGTGATGATGGAAAGTTTTGAAGGTCACGGGATGGGAAAATGAAGCTCCCCACCAGTATTGTATGACCACGATGGCAGAAGGAGCTGATGTTGGAGGACTTAGGTCAGCCTTTTAAGGCTAACTGAATAAATATCTGATGTCATCTATCCAAGAAAAATATGTTAAAAATGCTTCTCTGTCTCTTCCATGCATTGATCTGCTAGATCTCTAATGCTTCTCTCTTTTGATACTTGGTTGCATTAGAGAAAGGCTGGCTGTGGTATTGTTCATTTGTCTAATTTACCAGACACTTTTCAGTTGGTGTATTTCTCTTCTTCTAAAAGATGGCTTTGGTGGTATTTCCTTTATTCTTTCTGGCTTTCATAGTCCTTATTCTTCATGAAGACAACCGTGGTAGTTCTTTTCTTTAGCAGCCAGTGTCCCTTGTGCAGTATTTGTAACAACAACTTTTTTCTAACATTGGTTCTTCCAGTACCAGCTGCCAAGGGAGCCCCTTTGATTGGGGTGAACCTCCTCTGTTTTCATCACCACAGTGCTTTTTGACTTTCAAACACTCAGTTATTTAACTTCAGCCATCACCCAGTTTTCCAATGTCTGAACTCCCCAAGGCTAATGGATATTTTAGAAGTGGAGCCTGGATGCTTTGTTTCTGGGTCTTTGGAATAATGCCTTGGGCTCTGGGCAAAGTTGTAGAGTTTGTTGGAGCAGACAGTCTCCTGGAGAGTTTTGAACTCTCCCTCTGTCTTTGGAGATCCTTTTTGTACACATGGGGGAAAATAACTTCCCTATATTTTGGCTAAGATCAAGCATAGTTGGTGCTTGAACGACACGGATTCTTACTGCACAGATCCACTTATATGCAGATTAAAAATTTTTTTTATAAATACAGTACACTCAGTGTGGTTTCTCTTTCTTATAATTTTCTGAATAACATTTTCTTTTCTCTAGCTTTATTGTAAGAGAACAGGATATAATATGCATACCATACAAGCTGTGTTAATCAACTCTTTAAGTTATCAGTAAGGCTTCTGGTTTAATGGTAGGCTATTAATAGTTAAGTGTTCCGGGAGTCAAAAGTTACATGCAGATTTTTGGCTGCACCACTAATCCCTGCATTGTTTAAGGGTCAAACACAATACTCATTTTTTTGGGGAACATGTGACATGAATTTTTGCAACAGGGGTTTAGAAAGGAATGTTGTCTGTACAGTTAGCTCTCTGCATTTCAGGGCCCAACCCCCACTTGCCGACCTGAGTGTAAAGTCCTGAAGACGTGTAGCCTGATGTAGTCACTGGACCTTTGAACTGCCTTTTATCTTTGCTTTGTCCTGGCCTTCTCTTGAAGGCTGAATTCTTGACAAATGATAGACTCTGCAGTCCTATGGTAAATTTTTTTTTTAAAGATTTTATTTATTTATTCATGAGAGACAGAGAGAGAGGCAGAGACATAGGCAGATGGAGAAGCAGGCTCCCTGTGGGAGCCTGATGGAGAACTCCATCCCAGGACCCCGGGATCACGCTCTGAGCCAAAGGCAGCTGCTCAACCACTGAGCCACCCAGGTGCCCGTCCTACAGTAAATATTAAGTTTTTTATGTATCAAAAGACACTGAAAAAAAAAAAAAAAACCACTGAAGGATCTGAGGATCCCTAGCCACCTTGTGCATTCTTTCTGTCCTTCCCTATCTTCTCCTTCCCCTAGATTTATTCCTTTCATTTTGGTTGAACAGGTACAAGCCATGGTTTGTTTTCCTTTACTTTTATTTTTCTAAAGATTTTATTTTATTTTTTAAAGATTTTTATTTTATTTATTTATGAGAGACACACAGAGAGGCATCCCTTCCCTTTTTTTTCTAAAGATTTCATTTATTTTATTTTTTTAAAAGATTTTTATTTTATTTATTCATGAGAGACACAGAGATAGAGAAAGAGAGAGGCAGAGACACAGGCAGAGGGAGAAGCAGGCTCCATGCAGGGAGCCTGATGTGGGACTCGATCCCGGGTCTCCAGGATCAGGCCCTGGGCTAAAGGCAGCACTAAACCTCTGAGCCACCCGGGCTGCCCCTAAAGATTTTTTCAAGTAATCACTACACAGAACCTGAGGCTCGAACTCAACTTCGAGATCAAGAGTCATGGATTCAACCAGCCAGGTGCCCCTGTTTTGCTTATCTATGCTATTGTACAACGTTGTTTATTGTTATTGTACAATGTTGTTTCATTTTTATCCATTTATCTTCCTATGCTACTTTTGTTGTTTTTAAGGAGGGAAATATTTGGGTTTGACTGTGTAGTTTATCCACTCATTTTCCAAAAACTCATGGAGTGCCTACTTATGCTCCTTCTGTAAGTAGGCGGGCCTGTCAGCAAATAGCACGAGGCCTCTGCCAGTTGTCTTAAAGTGCAGACATTCAGAAAGGAAATGTAGTAAATAAACAGTATGTGTTGTAGCAGAGGTAAATGGAAAAGTGTTCTTTTGGAGAAGTTGAGAAAAGCTGTAATCTGAGCTAGGTATTGAATGGAATGTGAGCTTCTAAGGTCAAGTGGTAGAACAGGGAGGGAAAACATGGAATGGCAAGTACAAAGATGAAGAGGCCTGACAAAGCTGCATGTGCTGTGAGACTGGCAGGTGTTCGAAAGCTGATGTCACTGAGGGAGGCAGGGGTAGTCTTTGTGGAAGGCGTGTGTGGGGGTGATAACCTTGGGGAGGTCAGTTGCTAGCTTCTTCACGCAGAAGGAATTGGCTTCATCTTTCTGGAAACATGGGGGGGCTGTAATGTTCCCTGGGGTGTTATGTTGGACCATCTCAAGGAGAGCTTCTGACCCTCCGTCTCAACCGTGAGCTTTTTCCCCTTGGGAATAAAGTCTGTTCAGAGCCTCTGGTTGGTGCTTATCTGGCATGCTCAGGGCACCTTGGATTCACTATCATCTTTGCACACCCCTCTGACCTCTACCCATTACCCCCTGGCCTGCCTCCCTCTAGGAATTGGTTCTGGCTTTCCTAGGGTGGAAGTGGGGTATGGGCTTTGGTATGCAGAAGGGGAATGGCAGAAGATGAGCCTTTTCACACCCTTGGGTCTCCTTTGGCTCCCCTTTCTGTCTGCTGTTTTTTCAGATCTTGGCTTCTGCTTTTTTCCAACTACACAGCTATCTTGGCTTCTAGCCCAGGTGGGAGAAGGAGAAAGAACTATTTTCCTTCACTTCCTCTCTGAAAAATAGCCTGGCTGGCACTGGTAAGGAACAAGAAGTTCCTGAGTGAGTGTGTGTGCCTCCCATGGTATCAGTGTCTAGCAGTCCCTGCTATGAACCTGTCTCTTGCCCCACTTACTCTCCATCCCAGGATCTCTTTGGAGGTTAGGGGGTCTTCAGGGCCTCTGCAGCTGCCTCCAAGGTTTAGCATAGTGAAGTGATGGTGGGTGTGGGTGGGGAAGGTAACCCTGGCACCCTGGGGAGGTTGGGCTAATATGTGGGAAGCCCTGCAAAGTGGGGGAAAGTCTGGTCTGTTGTAGGAAAATGGTGGATGCCTCTAACTGAAGCCCAACCTTGGAATATTTGCTACGGGCCTGAGGTTGCCCATCAGGCTTCTACAGATCTGGATGTCGGATTCCTAGCGGCCCCGACATCCTGGCGCCAAAAACTGTGGGTGGGGTAGGGCGAGGGAGTGTCAGCTTCTACTCTCCTGTCCGAACAGGTTCATTTTAAAAACATCTCGGGGAAGACTGGGTTAGAGTTGATTCAGTCTAGTTAATAAAGCAAAGTATTGTGGTGGGCGCTCGAGTTGCTACGTGATGAAATTATCTGAACTGGACTCAAGAGTAGTCTTGAAGGACCAGTGGGAGCAAGCCCTGCGGGAAGCGTTGGTCGAGCGCCAAGTCCCAGAGGCTTGGGGAGACAAGGCTAGATCGGGGAAAGAGGGGGAGCTGAGTTTAGCTGGCTCAGTGGCCGTGCGAAGTTGGAACGGCCACGCGGTGGCTTGAGCCCAGGGCCCGGGGCAAACGGAGGACGGGGTGCGCCGGGAGGGGCTCCGTCCCCTTCCCGGGGCGGGACAGATCAGGCTCCCTCCACCTGAAGGTGGCGCGGTGCTCAGCCTCTGGGCGTCCCACTACTGGAAGGAACTTTAGGGGCAAACAGGTGGAGAGGAGGAGCTGGAGGCCGCCGCGGCGACAGCGCGCCGGCGCCACCATCCCCTCTGCCGCCCACGGGTGCAGCACACCAAGGGCAGTCCGGGCGGTTCCCCTTTAAGAGGCGGGGCGGGGGGCGGGGCTCCCCGCTCCTCCCCGGAGGCGACCGGGTCCCGCCGCCGAGTAGCCGCGGTCGCTGAAGCCGCGCGGGGTGGCGCAGTCGAGCGAGGCCGAGCTGACGCCGAGAGGGCCGAGCAGGAGTCCAGCCCCCAGTTGACCGCAGGCCGCCTTGCGCCGCCGGTTCCGCAGGCACCATGAGCCAGGACACCGAGGTGGACTTGAAGGAGGTGGAGCTGAACGAGCTGGAGCCCGAGAAGCAGCCGATGAACGCGGCGTCCGGGGCGGCCATGGCGGTGGTCGTGGCCGGCGGCGCCGAGAAGAACGGTCTGGTGAAGCTCAAGGTGGCCGACGACGAGGCGGAGGCCGCGGCCGCGGCCAAGTTCACCGGCCTGTCCAAAGAGGAGCTGCTGAAGGTGGCGGGCAGCCCCGGCTGGGTGCGCACCCGCTGGGCGCTGCTGCTGCTCTTCTGGCTCGGCTGGCTCGGCATGCTGGCGGGCGCCGTGGTCATCATCGTGCGGGCCCCGCGCTGCCGCGAGCTGCCCGCGCAGAGCTGGTGGCACAAGGGTGCCCTCTACCGCGTCGGCGACCTTCAGGCCTTCCAGGGCCCCCGGGGGGGGGGCCTAGTGGGTGAGTTTGTGCGCGCCCCTGGTGTAACGGGCCTGTGCCCAGATTGACTCAGAGGCTTCCGCATGCTCCCCGCCCCCGTTTTCGTCCGCGCACCCTGGGCCGTCGCTTCCCCTTCTATTCTTTGAAGAAAACCGCTCCTCCTCCCTCTTGCACCAGGCGAGCTGACTCAGCGTCCTCCCTCACTCCTGCGGCGGGCGCCGGAAGCCGGTAGCTGACGTTTCTGAAGTAATGTGCAAGGGATCTTACATCAGCTCTTCTGAGTCTCGTGCTCCCAGCTCACCCTCGACCCCACACTTAGTTCCGGGGGGGGGTGGGGGAGAATAGGGGAGATCTGGGGTCTCTCCGGGGGGTTTCACTTTAACCCTGCCTTCCCGTTTCAGGCCTAAAGGGGCATCTGGATTACCTGAGCACTCTGAAGGTGAAGGGCTTTGTGCTGGGCCCAATTCACAGGAACCAGAAGGATGACCTGTCTGGGACCAACTTGGAACAGATCGACCCCACTTTCGGCTCCAAGGAAGATTTTGACAATCTCTTGCAGTCGGCCAAGAAAAAGAGTGGGTGTCTTGGAGTTGTCAGAGAAGCAGCTGAGAAGGGCTTGGCCTTTTGGCCACGGGAAAGACAGGATAGGATTTTTGTTTGGTTTACCCCTGACTGGCTCTGAGTTTTCCTGAGGCAGGTACAGGGGAGGTTTCTTAGGCTTCAGCCTAAAATGAGCTTGTTGAGTGGTTCAGAGATTTTCTACTTGCTGTGTGTCCAGTCATTTAACTTCTGGGCTTTGGTGCCCTTACTTGCAAAATGTGGGCACCACATTTCCTCAGTGATCTTTTTTATTTATTAAAAATAAAATTTATTTTTATTTAAATACTTATTTATTTATTCATAGAGAGGGAGAGACACAGGCAGAGGGAGAAGCAGGCTCCATGCTGGGAGCCCGATTCCAGGATCACACCCTGGGCTGCAGGCGGCGCCAAACCGCTGTGCCACCAGGGCTGCCCTAAAATTTTTTTTTAAATAGGCTCTACTGCCCAGCGTGGGACTTGAACCCATGACCCTGAGATCAAAACTCAGATGCTTTACTGACTGAGCCAGCCAGCAGCCAGTCAGTGTTTTTTTTTTTTTTTTTAAGATTTTATTCATTTATTCATGAGAGACACAGAGAAAGAGAGAGGCAGGGACACAGGCAGAGGGAGAGGCAGGCTCCATGCAGGGAGTCCAATGCAGGACTGGATCCCAGGAATCCAGGATCATGACCTGAGCTGAAGGCAGACACTTAACCACCGAGCCATCCAGGCGCCCCATTTTTTTGTTTCCTCATGGAAGATCTTAAGCCGGGTTCAAATCTAAGTTTTGTGCCACATAATACATAGGGAATGGTCTACCGCCTTGTGTTTGTTGATTTTTTTCCTTTTCCTTCACTCCAAAGTCTTTTTCATGACTACCTTTTCCTCCATTGTTCCAGGCATCCGGGTCATTCTGGACCTCACTCCCAACTACAGGGGCCAGGACTCATGGTTCCTCCCCACAGAGATTGACGCTGTGGCTGCCAAGATGAAGGTGAGTGTGTTGGTGCTGACAGCAGGTGGGAGCTTGATGCTGGGGCTGTGTTGATCCTGCTGGCAAGCCCCATAAATCCAGCCTGGCTCTAGCTGAGGGGTTTCTTTTTCTTTTTTCTTTTTTTTTTTTTTAATATTTTATTTATTTATTCGTGAGAGACACACAGAGACAGAGACACAGGCAGAGGGAGGGAGAAGCAGGCCCCATGCAGGGAGCCAGACGTGGGACTTGATCCCAGGTCTCCAAGATCATGTCCAGGGCTGAAGGTGGCAAGAAACCTTCAGCTAAACCCTCTGAGCCTCCTGGGCTGCCCCGCTGAGGGGTTTCTTGCTCCTGGGAACCAAACTGGCTCACTTCTCCCACAGGCAGGAGGGTAGGCCAACAGGGCAATCTGCCTTTGCTTGTTCCTTTTCTGGCCACGTATTTATCTTGTTTCCTTGATTCTGATGGTAACAGTGCCAGGAAAGAAACTTCTCAGATGTTACTCTGGGTTTGATTTTCCTTCCTTTTGGGAGAGGAAGCCATTTCTCTGTGGGACTCCTGTTCTGTCTGGTTTCCCAGTTCTTGTTTGATGTGTTTTGGAGTGGAGCCCAGTCTGAAATTGTAAGCATTGTGGTCTTATGTGTGCAGGACAATGCCAAGTACTTTGTATGTATTCTCAATTTCTCTGTGACCACACAAGGTCCCTGTCACCTCTCATCTGTAAACGAAGAAGCTAAGGTTCAGAGGAGCTTGTTGTGCTTAGGACTTGAGGTCTCAAGTAATCTCATTTTGGTAATTTGCCTTCACTGAATGAAGGTATAGGTGCAAAGAGGGCAGGCTGGGAATGGGACTTTGTCATCCAAGCTCCTAATGGGATATTGGGTCCTGGGATATTGACAAGTTCAGCAGGGATAGAATAAAAATGAAGCAGATCTAGACTCTTTGCTGGCCCCCGTGATACTGAAATATAATTCTTTTTTTTTTAAGATTTATTTATTTATTTATCTATCTATCTATTTATTTATTTATTTATGATAGACACAGACACACACACACACAGAGAGAGAGAGGCAGAGACACAGGCAGAGGGAGAAGCAGGCTCCATGCCAGGAGCCCGATGTGGGACTCGATCCCGGGACTCCAGGATCCTGCCCTGGGCCAAAGGCAGGTGCCAAACCGCTGAGCCACCCAGGGATCCTCCTGAAATAGAATTCTTTACTCCTTAAATTTCTATAGGACTCTTGGGGTCATCTAGTTCAGCTCTTTAAAAGTTATTGATAGGGGGATGCCTGGGTGGCTCAGAGGTTGGGTGCCTGCCTTCGGTTCAGGTCGTGATCCCGGAATCCGGGATCAGGTCCCGCATCAGGCTCCCTGTGGGGAGCCTGCTTCTCCCTCTGCCTGCGTCTCTGCATCTCTCTCTCTCTCATTCTGTCTCTTGTGAATAAATAAAAAAATCTTTTTTTTTTAGATTTTTTAAAAAAATTATTTATTCATGACAAACAGAGAGAGAGGCAGAGACACAGGCAGAGGGAGAGGGAGAGAAGCAGGCTCCATGCAGGGAGCCCCACGTGGGACTCGATTCCGGGTCTCCAGGATCACACCCTGGGCTGAAGGCAGCGCCAAACCACTGGGCCACTGGGGCTGCCCAATAAATTAATCTTAGGAAAAAAAAAAAGTTATTGATAGGAAGGGTGCCTGGCTGGCCCCGTCGTTAGAGCATGTGACTCCTTTTTTTTTTTTTTTAAGATTTTATTTATTCATGAGAGACACAGAGAGAAGGCAGAGACATAGGCAGAGGGACAAGCTGGCTCCTCATAGGGAGCTCGATGCGGAGACTCTATCCTTGGACCCTGGGATCATGCCCCAAGCCAAAGGCAGAGGCTCATCCGCTGAGCCATTCAGGCGTCCTAGAGTCTTGATCTCAGGGTCGTGAATTCGAGCCCCACATTGGCAGTAGAGCTGACTTAAAAAATTCCTTAAATTAAAAAATTACTTAAAAAAATAAAGTCTCGGGCTCCCTGGGTGGCTCAGCGGTTTGGTGCCTGCCTTTGGCTCAGGGCATGATCCTGGAGTCCTGGGATCGAGTCCCATATCGGGCTCCCTGCATGGAGCCTGTGTCTCCCTCTGCCTATGTTTCTGCCCCCATCCCCCGTGTCTCTCATGAATAAACAAATAAAATCTTAAAAAAAAATAAAGTCTCTTAAAAGTTATTGATGAAGGAATGTTTCAGACAGTATGGCATGAGGACTAGTAGCCTCAGATGAAAATGGAGATGAGAAGAGAGAGCACAGGGACCCGAGAGAAAGGGGACAGGGCTGTGGAGGTGGGCCCCAATGTTCTGCCTTCATCAATGCCCTCACTTCAGGCCTGGCCCTGTGCTGCAGAGCTGACTCCTCTTTTCAGATCTTCATCAAGACTGCCCTGGGGCTGTGCTTTGAATTTCACTCTTTCCTCTTGGACCTTGCTCTCACTCCTACCCTCCCCAGGCCTCAGGACACTGGGAGAGAAATATGGACATTTGTCTTGGGATCTTGGCTTGCATTCCCTGTGTCTGCTGCTCTCTGACTGTGGTTGTGGGCTTGCTTCCTTGCTCCTCTGAGAGTGCTTTGTCATTTCTGAAATGAGTATATAAGCATTCCACACATGCTAAGGGTTATTTTATTTATTTATTTATTTTTAAAGATTTTATTTATTTATTATTCATGACAGAAACAGAGAGAGAGAGGCAGAGACACAGGCAGAGGGAGAAGCCTCCCCTGCAGGGAGCCTGATGTGGGACTCGATCCCAGGTCTCTAGGATCAGGCCCTGGGCTGAAGGCAGCACTAAACCGCTGAGCCACCTGGGCTGCCTGGGTTTTTTTTTTTTTTTTAATTAAAATTTTTTAAAAAAGATTTATTCATGAGAGATACAGAGAGAGCAAGACAGAGACACAGGCAGAGGGAAAAGCAAGCTCCAAGCAAGGGAGCCTGATGTGGGGCTCAGTCCTGGGACCGCGGGATCACTACCCGAGCCGAAGGCAGATGCTCAACCGCTGAAACGCCCAGGCGTCGCCACACATGCTTAGGGTTAAATGAAGTTACTTTTGTGAATGTACCTTTTCTCTTGGGCCTTTTCTATAGGAGTCCAAAGGTGAAGCCGTGTGATTTGCCCTGGGGTGGAACAGAGAAGTGAAATGCTGTACTGTTAAGAATCAGTGATAGTTCAAAAAGGGAGGGAACCGAAGGCTCAAGCTTTATGATAGAGGTGGTTAAGTGAGGCTGAGGCTGGTCAAGGCAAGTGACTCTCCCAAGGTCATGGAGAAGTGCATGGTGGTCATGGTTTGACATGGGCTGGATTTTGTATGCTTTTGCATCTGAGTGTTGATACCTTTTGTCTGTTTTCTTTTGCCCCCTTCCTTGTAGTTTGCTCTGAGTTTTTGGCTGCGGGCTGGTGTGGATGGGTTCCAGGTTCGGAACGTGGAGAATCTGACGGTAAGTCCCTTTTCCCTGTGAGAGGCAGAGCCTGGGTCAGAGCAGAGGGACTTTCCAGGGCTTGGTAGTGTTTGCTCCTCCTTGACTCTGCTTTTTTTCCTTCTAGGATGCATCTTTGTTCTTGGCTGAATGGCAGAACGTCACCAAGAGCTTCAGTGAAGATAGGTAGGTGCCAGACCTCCCCTGCCAACTCAGCTTCCCCATGGAACTCCTCAGCTGAGTGCTAGGCCCCAGGAATGGGGGGATCCCTAGTCCAAGAACCTTCTTCACCTTCTTTCTTTTCTTGCTCTTTACAAACTTTGTACTATTCTCTTGCTCTGTGCAGGCTCTTGATTGCGGGGACTGAGTCCTCTGACCTTCAGCAGATCCTGAGCCTACTTGGCTCCACCAAAGACCTGTTGTTGACTAGCTCATACTTGTCGAGCCCTGATATCACTGGGAGGCATACAGAATTCCTAGTGACCCAGTATTTGAATGCCACTGACAATCGCTGGTGCAGCTGGAGTGTGAGTACATAGTGTGGAGTAGAAGGCGCAGAAGGAGGCCTTTTAGAGGAAGGGGTGTTCACGGATGGAGGCAGAGGTGGGCTTCGGGGCTCACCAGTGCATCCATTCCTGCAGTTGTCTCAGGCGGGATTCCTGACTTCCTTCGTGCCGGCTCATCTCCTCCGCCTCTACCAACTGCTCCTCTTCACCCTGCCCGGAACCCCAGTTTTCAGCTATGGAGACGAGATTGGCTTGGAGGCAGCTGCCCTGCCTGGCCAGGTATGGCTTGCTACCTCCCCAGTGTGATGGGGGAGGCTGTGTTCATCTATCTCAATGGTTGTGTGGATGACTGCAGGCAGATGTGAGCCTCACGGGGAGCTGCATTTGATTCCTGGTCAGCCACCTAGTTGGTCACTGTGTGGCCTCGGCAAGTCATTTCACTGCCATAGCCTTGATCATCTCTTCTGGGTTATTGCATTTCTTGTGGGGAAGTTGGGATTCAATGAGAGCATATATATATTTTTAAAGATTTTATTTATTTATTCATGAAGACACAGAGAGGCAGAGACACAGTCAGAGGGGGGAGAAGCAGGCCCCATGCAGGGAGCCTAATGTGGGACTTGATTCCGGGACTCTAGGATCATGTCTTAGGGCCGAAAGCAGGCACCAAACCCCTGAGCCACCCAGGTATCCCGAGAGCATATTTTTTAAATGCAGTGCCTGAACATGTGGTAGGTGTTCAGTATGGGAGCCATCATTCATTCATTCATTGATGCATTCAAGGGGACTCTACGTCCTCCACAACTCATAGTTGAGTGGAGGACCCATATGAGTACGAGAAATGCACGGTAGCCCCTGCCATGATCAATAAGAGCATGAAGGCACTCATTTAGCTTTAGCCACAAGCTTGGACACCCAAGCTGGTATTTATAGAACTGGTCATTTAATTAATCCATAGTTTGATGGAGTAAATCCTAAATGCCACGCACAGAGGATACAGCAGTACACAGAAGGACTGAAGGTGGTGAAATTAGATAATAAAATAGAATAAAGGTGCCCAGTGCTGTTCAGTGCCATGCAGAAGAGAATAGGGCCAGGGGCCTAGAGAACATGGAGTGGGGCAACCTGGGTGGCTCAGCAGTTTAGTGACGCCTTTAGCCCGGGGTGTGATCCTGGAGACCTGGGATCGAGTCCCATGTCAGGCTCCTTGTATGGACACTGTTTCTCCCTCTACCTGTGTCTCTGCCTCTCTGTGTCTCATGAATAAATACATAAAATCTTTAAAAAAAAAGAAAAAAAAAGAAAAGAAAAACATGGAGTGGGGGGATGTTTTCCATCGAGTGGCCACAGAGGATCTGGTGAGACAACTGAGCAAAGAGACCAGAGGGCAGTGAGGGAGCCAGCTTGTGGCTGTCTGCAAGAGCCCTCCAGGCTGAGGGCACAGTGTGGGCAGGGACGGAGGCAGGAGCCTGCTTTGCTTGTCCAGCAGAAATTAGGCCAGAGTGGGGATTGGGGGCATGGGGGAGGCTCTGCATGGGTGAGGCTGGAAACAGGAGGAGGGAGTGCAGGCCCAGGCCTTTTCCAAGTCCTGTTTTCCCTGTTTTTCAGCCTGCGCAGGCTCCGTTCATGCTCTGGGATGAATCCAGCTTCCCCAACGCCTCAGGACCTGGAAGTAGCAACATGAGTGTGAAGGTAAGGGTTTTGAACGGGCTAGGCCTGCTCAGCAGAGGGTGGGCAGGTGCCTTGTAGGAGTTTGTGCCCAGGGGTGTCTTTTATCTTTTCTTGCTATCTTGATCATTTGCAGAGCCAGAATGAAGACCCACGTTCCCTCCTTTCCCTGTTCCGGAGGCTGAGTGATCAGCGAGGCAAGGAACGCTCCCTACTGCACGGAGATTTCCATGCACTCTCTTCGGGGCCTGACATCTTCGCCTACATCCGCCAGTGGGACCAGAATGAGCGTTTCCTGATAGTGCTCAACTTTGGGGATGTAGGCCAGCCTGCCAAGTTGGGGGTTTCGGGTCTGCCGGCCGCAGCCAGCCTACCAGCCAAAGTCAACCTGCTGCTCAGCACCCATCTGGGCCATGAGGAGGATGCTTCTCTTGAGCTAGAGCATCTAAACCTGGAGCCCCATGAGGGCCTGTTGCTCCGCTTTCCCTACGTGGCCTGACAGGACACACTATTCCTCCCTTCCTCTGGCCTTTTGGGTCCTGGTTTCTTTTCTTTTCTTTTCTTTTCTTTTCTTTTCTTTTCTTTTCTTTTCTTTTCTTTTCTTTTCTTTCTTTTCTTTTCTTTCTTTTCTTTTCTTTCTTTTTTTTCTTTTCTTTTCTTTCTTTTTTCTTTCTTTTCTTTCTTTTTTCTTTTCTTTTTTTCTTCTTCCTTTCCTTTCCTTTCCTTTCCTTTCCTTTCCTTTCCTTTCCTTTCCTTTCCTTTCCTTTCCTTTCCTTTCCTTTCCTTTCCTTTCCTTTCCTTTCCTTTCCTTTCCTTTCCTTTCCTTTCCTTTCCTTTCCTTTCCTTTCCTTCCTCCCTCCCTCCCTCCCTCCCTTCCTCTTCTGTCACAGATTACAGATGAAACCCCAGATAAGGTATATTCTGGCTTCAAATAAAAGTCACTCCTGGGGAACCCTGGGTGGTGGCTCAGCGGTTTAGCCCTGCCTTCTGCCCAGGGCACAATCCTGGAGACCGGGATTGGATCCTACGTTGGGCTCCCGGCATGGAGCCTGCTTCTCCCTCTGCCTGTGTCTCTGCCTCTCTCTCTCTCTCTCTCTCTCTCTCTCTCTCTCTCTTTCTCTCATGAATAAATAAAATGTTAAAAAAAAAAAAAGTCACTCCTGCCTTGAGTTCCCTCCACCTGTCAGGGCAGGATCTCCTCCCCACAAAGAATCGACTGTGTGCTCAGTGTGTGCCAGAAATCGGTTTAGGTCCCAGGGTTACAGGAGGGAACAAAGTACAGCATCTCTCTGTCCTTGGGGCTTATGGTGCAGTGAGGAGGTGGGGGAGAAATAAAGTGAATACAATTCAGAGTGCTGGGTTATAGTGATAGTGTGCCAAGGGGAAAAAAGTCAAGCAGGAAGAGAGGGAGGGGCTTGGGGCAGAGGGAGCTTGAGGAGGAAGGAGAGGAGGCCTCAGCCAGGAGGTGACATCTGAATGAAAGGCCCTCCAAAGGAGGGGGTTAGCTTGCCAGGCACCCCTCTCTAGGGCCCTATGGCAGGGGCCTGCCTTGCTTGAGAGTGAGGGGGGTGAGGGGCGATGAGTTCTGGTTGGTAGGGGTTGAACAGATCACAAAGGCCCAAGTAAGGTGGTCACATTGAAGGGTGCAAAGAATTTGGCAGAGGGCATGGGACCCACAAGACTGACTTCATTTCAGACACCAGTTGCAAGTTCCGGGTCTGCAGAACCACCCTCAGTGGGTAATTTGCTAGAATAACTTATAGAATTCAGGAAAGCAGTAAGATGACGGTGTTTTAATATCTGGAAGGATGTGTGTTCAGCCAAAAGACAGGTTGCATAGGGGTGGAATGGGTGGGCAGGGGGAATGAGAAGAGGTGTTCCAAGAGTGAAGCTTCCTAAGGATTGTTCTCTCCCAGTGGAACCCTCGACTTGAGACCTCCTCCTGGTTTGTGACACAGTGTGGCCAAGCAGGGAAGTTCACCTGAGCTGTGGGGTCCAGGTTTCTGGGGGATTACTCACAATCTTGGATGCGGCTGACTCGGTCTCTACCTCCCCCGACCTCTGGGCCCAGAGGTCATGTGTCCCAAAGCACTTGTAAATCACATCGTCAGACCGACAGATGTCTGAAATCCCCAGACATTCCCGTCAGGACATTCCAGGGGCATAGAGATCCCCTCCAGGGAACCAAGGGTAAAGGTCAGATGTTGGGTAAGATTAGCTTCTCTGCACAGGGTCTGAGGAAGTGGGATGGGAATTGGGAGAGTTTTGAGCTGTGAGCGTGGTCTGAAGTTGTTTTTCCGCTGACTCACTGACCGTCCTGCTAGCAGGGAGGCCGATTAGGGTGGTTGTTACAGCTGCAGCTTTTGTAGACTTCCCAGGATAGCCTCTGGAGGTGCTAAGTGCATTTACTTTGTGGGGAGACCCGCAGGATTTTCCGTTGGATCTTTCTACCATAGTTTTGATTCTTAGCCTGGACTCCCACACAGCCTTTGGGATTAAGTCCCGCCCTTCTAGCTTTCTTAGGTAAAAGAGCACTATGCCTGCAGGATGGGACTTGGGTTGGGCCTGGGCCTCGAAGGTGGTCCTGGTATGGGGGGAACAGGGCAGGAGATTAGAGGCCCCAATTAAGGCCCAGTCCATGCTTGCTCTCTGGTTTCCCTTGCCCTGCACCTGCGCCAAGGGCTGTGAGGGCATGCACTCTGGTGCCAGGGCACAGTTCCTGTGAAGACATTTGGCAGCCAGCCAGCTGGGCCTTAGCTCTTTCTGCCTTGCACTGCCCTTCTCTCTCCTACTAGCACTTCTGAGACCTGTCCCTTGTCTGATTTGGGCCTCTCCTCTTCCTGAGGCTCCTCACCCTCAGGTTCTTTCCTGGGGTGCCAGCTCCAGCCCCCCTTCTTTTCTCCTTTGCTTTGCCCCTGGCCTCCCCTCTGACCCAGTTGGTATCATGGTGTCACTGCAGATGGAGCCTCTTCCTCATTTTCTGCTTTGTAATTTACTGTTAACTTTCACTTTTAATTTTTATTTTTTAAAGATTTTATTTATTTATTCATGAGAGACACAGATAGAGGCAGAGACACAGGCAGAGGGAGAAGCAGGCTCCTTGCCCGGAAACCCGACGCGGGACTCCATCCGGGTCTTCAGGATCACACCCTGGGCTGAAGGTGGCGCTAAACCGCCGAGCCAACTGGGCGCCCTAACTTTTTTTCCGGGTTCACAGCAGGGTGCTGATTAAGCCTTGGGGGGGGGTCCCCAGATATAGAAGAGTCAGGATGATTATAAAGTTTTGGCTGGAGCAGCTGGAAGACTGGAGGTGCCTTTGCTGAGGTGGGGAAGACTGCTGGAGGAAAACATTTATTTTTTACAAATATAAAATTTGCCACGTTACCTGTTTTTAGGTGTACAGTTCAGTGGCATTAAGTATATTCACACTGTGGTCCCACCAGCACCAGTGTCCACCTCCAAAACTTCTCCATCATGCTGAATGGAGACTGCCCATTAAACATAGCTCTGTTCCTCCATATTTGTTTTTAAATTCTTTTTATTTTATTTTATTTTTTTATTTTTAAAGATTTATTTATTCATGAGAGACCAGAGAGAGAGGCAGAGACATAGGCAGAGGGAGAGCAGGCTCCCTGTGGGGAACCTGATGCAGGACTCCCAGGACCCCAGGATCACGATGAGTCAAAGGCAGTTAAACCACTGAGCCACCCAGGTGCCTCTAAATTTTTTTTTCTTTAAGAGATTTTATTTATTTGAGAGACCAAGAGGGCCAGCATACAGAGCAGGGGAGGGGAGGGGCAGAGGAGAGGGAGAATCAGACTCTCCCCTGAGCAGGGAGCTTGATACAGGGCTTGATTCCAGGATCCTGAGATCATGACCTAGGCTGAAGGCAGACACTTAACCCACTGAACCACCTGCGCACCCTCCATATTTGTTTTTTTTTTTAAATTTTTATTTATTTATTTTTAAGATTTTATTCATGAGACACACACACACACACACAGAGAGAGAGAGAGAGAGAGAGTCAGAGACACAGGCAGAGGGAGAAGCAGGCTGCATGCAGGGAGCCCACTTGGGACTCGATCCTGGGTCTCCAGGATCACGCCCTGGGCCGAAGGCGGCGCGAAACTACTGAGCCACCCAGGCTGGCTGCCATATTTGTATGAAGACACCGAAGCTCCCAAAGATACTGGGGTAATTCCTGGTAATGCCTAGACCTCTGTGCCCTGGGGAACACATGAGATCAGGGAATGGGGCTCCGAATCCACAAGAGCTGTACTGTGGAGGGCCTCACATTCCCTTCCCATGTCAAAGGAGGAAGAGAGTGCAGAGGCAGATACAGGCTGAAGCTGTCTCATTAGCCACCACAACTACCCTGTGAAGGAGGAATTCACAGACATTATCTTAGTTGAGGCAGGGGGTCAGAATGCCTCTCCGGAGGGCCATTTAAGCTGACAGCAGGACTCAAAGCAGAGGGAGACAGAAGCAATGGCTTCTACGGGAAACATTCCTCTGCTGTTCCTTCATTCACTGACCTAGTTTTTTTGAATTATTGCTTCATGCCTGGCATCATCTCCATCTTTTTGGATTTGGGGTAAACAGGACCCTGCCCTCACTTGCTTCCAGCCTCCAAAGGACCAAATGCTTGGGACTTTAAGGCCTGGAGGCCATCTCTTAAAGGGTTAAGGGCACTTTTAAGTGAGATCATTGGTTTAAGGAAACTTCACTTTTTGTTTCTTTGAAGTGATGTACCTTTGAGGACTGTGTGGGTCTTGTTTACAGAGGAGGCCAGGGAGGGCTCAGAAGTAAAAGGCCCCTCTCAGGCAGCAGTGAGTTGGGCTTTGTGGAGTACAGAGGAAGAGTTTAACCCAGGGAGGATCAGGAAAATCTTGGGAGTCTTCATCTGAGCTGAGACAGAGGCGCCAGTGAGCAGTCCTATGACACAGGCCTGGGTCACCAGCATCGAGGCGACTTTATGTATAGCCATTTAGTTGAGACAGCACAGTGAATGCGAGGCCCATGCACGGTGTTGGCCAGTTCTGAAGTCATGAGAACCAGCCAGAGGCTGAAGCACAAAGGGCTTTAATAGTCATATTCAAGTTGTCTATACCTTGCCCCGTATGAAGATTCTCAGCCTGGTTATGCAGAATCCTCTGGAAAAATCTCTTATATTCAATATCCACTGAATTGCAATCTCCAAGGGGCTGAGCCTGGGAGTTGATTTTTATTTTTAAATTAAATTAAATTAAATATTTACTTATTATTTTAAAAAATGATTTTATTTTATTTATTCATGAGAGACACACAGAGAGGCAGACACATAAGCTCAGCCCGATGTGGGACTCGATCCCAATACTCTGGGATCACACCCTGAGCCGAAGGCAGATGCTCAATCTCTGGGCCGCCCAGGCATCACTAATTTTATTTAAAAGAAAATTTTTAACTCATTTATTTGAGAGAGAGCACCTGTGTGTGTGGGCGGGGCAGAGGGAGAGAAAGAAGCAGGCTTCTTGATGAACAGGGTGCCTGACACACGGGCTCTATCCCAGGACCCCAGAATCATGACCTGAGCTGCAGACCCTTAACAATGGAGCCACTCAGGTGCCCCTGGGAGTTGAAATTTAAAAAAACATATATTTTATTTATTTATTCATGAGACACACACACACATACACAGAGGCAGAGACACAGGCAGAGGGAGAAGCAGGCTCCATGCAGGGAGCTTGATGTGGGACTCAATCGTGATCCTGGGTCTCCAGGATCACGCCCTGGGCTGAAGGTGGTGCTAAACCGCTAAGCCACCTGGGCTGCCCCCGGGAGCTGATTTTTAACCAGCTTTCTGAAATGATTCCCACAGCAGTTTGGGAATCACTAGATCAATGTTTTCCAGACTTGCTGAGTTATGTCTGAAGACAAAGATTAGGGCAAAGAAGTTCTGGTTTTTCTCCTGGATGTCCTGTTTCACCAGGTCTGGGAAAGGACATCAGAATCTTTGTAAACGCTCAGATAAGAATGAGAAAGGAACACTGCTCTCACTGGTTGAGAAGCCCTTGGTAGGGAGTGACATAGTCAGGTCCGAGTTTCAGAAAGCTTGCTCTGGCTCTGCTGTTGTGAAAGAAGTTGAGGGTGGCCAGGAGCCCTTTAGGAGGCTGTTGGAACAGCCTGGGATGATTCGGAGGTTAAGGAGGCAGAGGCTGCGGGGTAGGAGAGGAGATAGCTTGGAGAGATGGTTCAAGAGAAGCAGCTCTGGGATTTCATGAGTGTCTAGGAGGGATGGATGTGAATGAAAGGGAGAAGGTAGCTGTGTTGTGGCTCCTGAGTTTCTAGCTTAGGTGTTTGTGGGGGTGGCTGGGGCTCTCAAGCTGGGTAGGGGAGGCAGGAAGAGAAGCAGCTGTGGGTGGGAAGGGGATCAGCTCCTGGTAGATGTGCTGAGTGTGTATGCTCTTGGACTTGCAGGTGGAGGCTTTCCGCAGGGGAGGGTCTGTAGCTAGCAGCGGGTGGGGGCGCGGCGGGGTGTGTGTGTGTTTGCATACCATGAGTGTGAATGATGCTCTGGTGAGCAAGTCGAGTGAAAAGGGTGGAAGGGAGAGGTTGGAGCCCTGAGGACTGGCACCATTAGCAGGACGGAAATGGAGGTGGGACCCCCAGAAGAGAACAGAGCCCAGGGGTGGGGATAGGAAGGCAGGAAGAAGAGACAGGTTGGTGTCAGCTAGAGCAGAGCTGTGGCGGGTGACCTTTCAGTTTGCTGACATCTTTGGTGTCTTCTGGCAGTCCCCCCCAGGGCTCTTCCAGGGGATGAAGGAGAAATGAGGTTTTCTGATTCTAAGGGTAGGAGGGATTTGTACAAGTTTCTAGATAGTATCAGTGGGTGTTCCTGCTTTTCTTTTTCTTTTTTTTTTAAAGATTTTATTTATTTATTCATGACACACACACACACACACATACACACACACAGACAGAGACACAGGCAGAGGGAGAAGCAGGCTCCATGCAGGGAGCCCAACGTGGGACTCGATCCCCAGACCCAGGATCACGACCTGAGCCAAAGGTAGACACTTAACCACTGAGCACCCAGGGATCCCTGTTCCTGGTTTTCTTTTCTTTTCTGTTCTTTTCTTTCTTTCTTTCTTTTTTTTTTTTTTTTATTGTTCCTGGCTTTCTTAAGCAGCAAAAGAATTTGTTGAAAGGCCATCAGGAACTGCCAGGACGAGGCAGGACCAGACTTGCAAAACGGGCAGGAAGCAAGTGCCAAGCAGCAGGAAGGATAATTTTCCTTTAACTGGAGCAGCCTGGGAGGCTGCCACCAGGGGACACGCTGCCAATATGTGCACACAGCTGGACATAGAGTCTCCAGATGGGGTATGGGGGACGCTGAAGTTCAGGCCCCAAGTCCCTGCACTGAGGGCACCCTTTCCCAGTCCACAGCAGGGTGCTGATCAGCCCGGGGGTGCCCACATGTAGAGGAGTCAGGATGATTACAGGGTTTTGGCCAGAGCAACTAGAAGACTGGCAGAAGGGTGCCTTTGCTGAAGTGGGGAAGAGGCTTTACAGGGGAAATGAGCAGGTCAGTTTGGGCCTTGCTGCTTCTGGGGTTTGACAGACACCTAGGTGGGGATGTCAGGATGTTAGTAGGACATGTGCGCCAGTGTTGGTGCAGTGACCTGAACTGGAGATTCAAATCTGGGCGTCATGGGTGCTGCTGGCACGGAGAGCCCCAAAATGTCAGAGGGGCAGTAGGGTAGGTGTAGAGAAGGCAGAGAAGAGGAGTAAGCCCTTCACAGGGTCAGAGACGGGCTGGCAACAGACCCTGCAAGAGAGGGGTAGGGGGTAGGTGGAAGGGCGCACCCTGGAGGCCTGGCATTGGGGAGATGCTGTGAACGACTCTGCTGGGGGCTGGAGGGAGGACAGAGGCTTGGCCCTTAGGTTTATCAGCATGGAGTGCTTTGGTGACCCTGATGAAAGCAGTTTTGGTTGAGGCTGGGGCAAAAGCCAACTTCGAAGGGGCTTCGTGGAGGATCCGAGGAGAGAGTTGGGAGTCTATGCCCATGGGTGGGGGCTATTAAGGAAGAGAGAGACAGGAGGGAGTGAGTAGCAGGGGGAAGACCGGACCAGAAGTCTTTGGTTTCTTTAGCATGCGAGCAGCCACAGCACATTTGCTTAGGGCAAGAGGGAGAGATGCCAGAGGGATGACACTTGCTGGGTAGATGCCTTGGTGGGAGGGAGAGGGGACAGGATCTAGGGTGGGGATAGGGGAGGAGGGCTGGTGGTCCTGCACTGTCACATAGGAGGCATACATGCCAGGACAAAGTAGCTGGGTAGACCTGTGGGAGTTTGTGAAATTCCACTCCCAGATTGTTTTTTATTTACTTGGTGAAATAGGAAATGAGGTCACCTGCTGAGAGTGAGGATTGGGGCCTCCCCAAGGTTGGAAGTTTGAGGAGAGGGGAGAGGTATGAATAAACATCCAGGATCTTCCCATTCACGGCTGGAGGGAGACTTATAGCATATCAGCTGGGGGTAAGATAGAGGGGATAGAGATTGAGTCAACAATCCATCACACCTACATCATGGAGCCTCCATAAAAATCCCTACAGTATTGGATTCAGAGGGTTTCCCAGTGGGTGAACACATTCATGTTGCTAACAGGGTGGTGCCCCCTAGCTCCACAGGAACGGAAGCTCCTGTGCTTGAGATCCTTCGGGATCTCACCATTCATCTGTCCATTCTCCTTTATCATCTCCTCTATTATCATCCTTTTTTTTAATCACCCTTTCCTTTATCGTCTCCTCTCCTCCACCAGTCAATATGTTTATCTGAATTCTGTGAGCATATTACTGAACCTGAGGATGGAGTTGTGGGAATTCCAATATGTATCCCAATCAGACAGAAGTATGGGTACCCTCATGACCCACTACTTGAGATTGGTGGGGGAGAGGGGGACATCTTGTGGTCCCGAGCCCCTAACTTGTGGGATCTGATGTTAACCACAGGTAGATAGTGTCAAACACCTGGCTGATGCTGGAGAATTGGCTGGTGTGGAAAAAACAAACACCCACCACTTGGTGTCAGAAATTTTGTAAGTAGAATGTAAATAAAGGAAACAGAATTTTTCTACTTTAATGGGGCAAGAAAATTCTAGGCAGAGGAGCCAGAAGAAGTGAAAAGCATGAATGAGTGGGCTGGGGTGCTTCTCGGACCAGGAGAATTTCAGGGTCTGTCTAGGGTCAGTGAGGGTGAGGAGTCACAGAAGAGGCTCAAGAAGGAAGTAGGGCTGAACAGAGGCTGTTGGGAGGCTGAGGAGCTTGCATTTTTATCTCAAGCTACTGGCTAGTTGTTAGCAAGGGGTTGGCACCATCAGAGCTATGTTTTGGCAAAATCACTTTGACTGAAGCATGGCGAATGAATGGGAACGGGATCAATTAAGTCAGGGGTTGGCAAACTACAGCTGGTTGGCCTGTTTTTGTACTCATTATGAGTGAAGAATGGGTTTTGCATTTTTAAAGGGCTGAAAAAAAATCAAGAGAAGAATAATGTTTTGTGGCACATGAGCATTATATGCAATTCAAAGCTCTGTGGAATCTAAATAAAGTTTTATTGGAACTCAGCCATATTCATTCATTTTATGTATTGTGTATGGCTGCTTTTGCCTACAATGGCAGAACTGAATAGTTGTGACAGAGACTATAATACAGAAGTACCTACATTATATCCTTAATTTTGCCTCTTGGTCCACATAGCCTAAAATATTTACTATCTGGCCCTTTACAGAAAAAGTTTGTTAACCTCTGAAGGATAATTTTAGCATTCAGGAACTCTTGCACTGGGATGGTGACAGGACAGATGGACAGCACTGGATGAATTCAGGAACTGTTCGGGGGGTGGACTGACCAACTGGTACATGGAGTGAAAAGGAGAAGGAGTCCAAGATGACTCACAGATTTATGGATTGAGTGCTGGGTGGATGGTGGTGCTAGCCAGGCCAGGAACACCAAGAGGGGGAGTAGACCTGAGGGGCGGAGGAAGTATGCGGACTGGCAGGAATAGAGACAGTAATTTTCAGGCCTATTTTGTGTGATAGTCTGATTACTGGAGTTATGTAGTTGGCATGTGTTACAAAGATGCTAAGAACAAAGACATCACCTCAAAGTCTTTAGAGCCTGAGGCTGGTGTGGGACACCTGGGCTTCAAAAACCTTCATGTTGTCAAGGTGAGCAGGTACCTGTCTGAACGTCCAGTTGGATCAGCATCTGTTCTGTAAAAGCAGGGCCAGGTTCCAAGAAATGAAACTGAGGATTCCAAAAGCCTGGGGTAGGCACTGGGAGACATGTGGGGTCTGTCCTGGGATGCCAAGTCTCCCCTGAGCCCTCTCCTACTTGTCTGGTGAAGCTGGCATGCAGGAAAGAGGTTGGGCTTGCCTCGGCGGGTTTAGCGCAGTAGCCAAGCGACCTGGTCCTTCCAGGGCCTTGGGTTCCTACTGAGATGTGGGGGCAGTTGCTGAGGTGGCCAAGACCATCTACTGTATCTTTTGCCCTATGTCCTGTTCTCTGGGATGCCGTCCCAGCAGGTTCTAAGTGTCATGATTCTTGATGGGGCTATACCCTTGGTTGCCTGCAGATGACGCTCAAGTGATACGATGGGAGCGGCCCTGAGGACAAAGGCCTAAGGGGTGCTCCTTCTCTAGGCCTGCTTCAACTTGGTAAGGGGAGGAGGTGGCACTCACAAAGCCACCTCATTCTTTCCCTGCTTCCTGTTCATCTGCGAAACAGCCCTTGTTTCTGGGGCCAAGAAAGACTCCCTCAGGGCGGGAGGGGGTGTATGTAGTGTTTGGGGTGGACTGATGCCATGGCCAGCCACCCTCTCTGGTCAAGCTCAAGCTGTTTCCTCTGTCTTCTGGCAGCTGAGTTTGAAGGAATCTTGCTTCAGAGGCTTGCAGGGCACAGGCTCCATTTCTAGGATGAAGCCTTCCTGGATCACATGCCCTCTCCCCTCCCCCCAGGCTTGCCCCCTGACACTTCTTTTTGCAAGCCCCATTTCTTCCCTCTGGGTTGGCAGAGAGCATGGGACTCTAGACTCTATAAAGCCACTGCTGGAGGTGTAGGGAAAGGTATGGGTCTGAAACCACTTGGTTTCTGGCCTTTACCTGAGAACACCCTCGTCTGGTGGTAACACTAGTCTTAGTAGAGCCACGGAGGTGTTTTCTTTTCTGGCCCACCCTCTTCACTCTTCTGGGAGGAACTCATTCCTCTTGAGGACACTGAAAGTGAGAGACCTCCCTAGGGTTGTGTGGTGAGGGGCCACGGGCAGGTAGAACCTGCACCTGGGACCCGGGACAAGTGTGCACTTGCAAGCCCCATTCTGATGCGGATACCTCCCACTCTTGGCTTCCAGGAAAGCTGGATCTGATTGCAGCACTACTGCTCTCCCAACATTGCTGGGGCTTTCTCGGTCTCTGTGCCACCAAGACTTCTGTTCCAGTGCCTTTGCCACAGGGTAGGGCATTTAACCCTAAAGCGGACTCAGTGCTATGAGGGAGCAGTGGTGAGGAAGGGGTGCTCCCAGAGTCTAGAACTGACAACCCAGAAAACTGTGCAGGAGGGAGAGGGGTCTGGGGTCAGCGTCCTAGGGTCACCCTCCCCGGGGTAGTGCTCCTGCCAGCTCCTGGCCAGCCTGTCCCATCCCACCTCTTTAGTGGATCGTCCCTGCCCATAGTGTTGAAAGTTTCTTTTTCAAAGGCTTCCTGGAGTCCTGACAGCTGTGTGTGGGGTAATTTTCCATGGCTTCTCTGCAAATGGTTAGCCCCACCTAGGATCTCATTCCTCTGGCCAGCATTTCTAAAACTTCAGCCAGCATCACAACACCTGGAGGGCTTGTTGAAACGCATGGCTGGGCTCTACCCCTAGAGTTTCTGATTCAGTAAATCTGGAGTGACCCCGAGAACTTACAGATCTAATGAGTTCCTGGGTGATGCTGATGTTACTGGCAGGGACTGCAGTTCCTTCAAGGATTAATAACCCGGGAGGTCTGGGTTGTCCAAACCCTGCACATTCCAAAGAAAGGTTTGGTCCTTGCCTGGCTCCTGGGAGAGCACCCCTAAGGCCCTGATAAAAGTCTCTTTGCCTACCTGGGGCCCTGGGCCTTGTGGTATCAGATTAGCCTCCGGAGGGGCTGGAGATTAAGTAGCTAAGGTCAGCCATGCTTTACATGAGCAGTTTCCAGTAGAAACATTGGACACCATGGCTCAGGTAAGCCCTGTGGTTGGCAGGACGTCATGCATGTTGTCACATAGAAGAATTAGATGCTGTACCCATGACTCCATTGGGAGAAGATGACTAGAAGCTTGCACCTGGTCTCTCCTAGACTCTGCCCTAGGTGCCATTATTGTTTGCTGATTTTTTTTTTTTCCCTAGAGAGGGGGAGGCAGAGGGAGAGGGAGAGAGATCCTAAGCAAGCTCCATGCCCACCGTGCAGCCTGACATGAGGCTTGATCCCACAACCCTGAGATTGTGACCTGAACTGAAATCAAGAGTGGGATGCTTCACCGACTGAACCACCCAGGCACCCCTCCTTTGCTGCTTTTAATTTATATCTTTTTACTGTAATAAATTTTAACCACGAGTGTAACAGCTTGGCTGAGTTCTGTGTGACTTTCCAGCAAATCATTGAACCTAAGGGTGGTCTTGAGGACCCCCAATGATAACCACACTTTGAGAACTGCTGCTCTATGCTTTAGGCATTAGGGTCCCCTCATCAATGAAATGCCTTAGAACCTGGCCTGAAGGTCACCTTTATGGAGTACTTTGGCCTGGACCCCAGGTGTCCTCTGTCTGTAGTCCAGGGGTCAGGAGACTGCGAGTTGCCTGGAAGCCTGAGTATTGCTTTGTAGGGTAGCCCTGAATATTCCTCCTGGGTCACTGGGCCTTAGTCTCCCCATCTATACATGGGGCCTAGGAGCAATTCTGCTCTCCCTGGGTATAACAGGGCCTTGGAGCAGCCACATATGGCAAAGCTGATAAAGAACATGCTAGGCTATGGGCAAAGGCAATTTATTTCACCTGCTCTCCCTACCGCCCATTAGAGAGCCCTACTCACCTGAGCCGGGGACCCTGGAGTGCTGGGGCCCATGGGTTTCAGCAGAGCCAGGACTTGGTTCTGCCCCTCCTGGGACCACCCTTGGAGCAGTGGCCCACATTCAGCAGTACTGGGGCCTTCCCTGTCCCGTTCTGCCCTGGCCTAAGACTAGGCCCTCCATCCAACACAGCGAAGAAGGCCCCGTAGCCCCTGCTAGTTATGTGGCTTTATTCACAGACTCAGCACTTGCTGAGGATAGAAGGAAAGAACATTTGGGGCCAGGCTAGGCTTGGAGATGAGGGTGCCTGGGAGGCCATGCATGGGTCGGACTGGGAGCTCACAGGAGAGGACCCGTTGGCTGGGCCAGGCCTGTGTGGGGCAGGCTGGAGGCAGGCAGCATGCGGGAGGCCTGGCTAGACCTGTGTGGAGCAGATCCACCCAGGTGGTGGCTGTGAGCCAGGGAGGGAGGGACTGAGGCTTTCTCTGGGGCAGAGGGTATAGGTGTGGGGCTGGACAGCAGGCACCCCTGCCCCTCATTCCCAGGAAAACTACATAGTGGGACAGTCAGAACACCTGGTGCCTGGTCCAGCTGCTGCCTCTGGACTTGGTTTGTGACTAGCCAAGCTGGTCTCTTCTGGTGGCATCATCCTGATGCTTGGATATTTGCCTTGGGGACACTCTTGGGACATTTGTAAGGAGGCTGGACCATCCTGGAGAGTGTGCCTAAGCCCAGCAGCATGGGCTGTGCCTGCGGGGGGAGGGGATACCCAGCCTGGGGTGCACCCTTTGAGCCAAGCTTTCCTCTCCGTGGTTGGTGTCAGTTCCCAGCTGTTGTCCCAGGGGGGACCATCTCCCACCTCAATCTGGGCCAGCCCCTCGGCCAGGGATGACTGAAATGTTAACCTTCTTTCTCCTGGCCGGCCCTGGTGGCTCCCGACAGATTTCCTGCCTGAAGGCATACAGAGGGTTCCAAGCTTGGATCCTCCTCCCCTAGCCTTTTTCCTGGTGAAGAGCCCGTTCCCACCCAGCAGGAACAGAAAAACCAGTTCCCCGGGTTCGGGTTCATTCCACCTGGGAATAGCAAAGTTTGGTAAGTTGGCAGGGTCTCTCTAGGCTGTCCAGGAAGGTGACCTAGGGGACGCTCCCCCCCAACCCCCCAAGCCTGGTGAGGACAGAGCAGGGCCCTGGGTCTGAGGTCACAGTCCCTGCCCACTTCCTACCCTGCTCTCCCAGGGACTGGGGTGGTGGGATGCAGGTGAGGGGTCATCAGCATTGGCGGGAGGGGGTGCGGTGCACAGAGCCAGGGCGCTTGGGGATCTTGCGCCAGCGACGCTTGTCCCAGCGGCAGAGCAGCAGCAGGCGGAAGGTGTCCCGGAAGGCTTTGTTGCAGAGCGCGTAGCACATGGGGTTGATGGTGCTGTTGACGTAGCACAGCCAGTAGCCCAGCTCCCACAGGGTCTCGGGAACACAGTTCTTGCAGAAGGTGGACACCAGCACCATAATGTTGTATGGCGTCCAGGTGAGGATGAAGGCCAGCAGAATGGCACTCAGGGTCCGAGCCGCCTTCTTTTCCTTGACCAGCGAGAAGGTCTTCCGCTTGGCCAGCTGCTCCTTCCCTCGGGGCTTCTGGCCCTTGCCTGCTCGCTCACGCCCTTTCCGCGTGGGCCTCTTGACTGTATTGGGAGAGCTCCGGGGGGGCTGCTTGGTGGGGGCCGGTGCCTCGGGATCCACCATGGGCATCTTGATCACCACCTCGGAGCCGGGCTCCTCACCCTCCGATGAGGTGAGGGACTCCATGGAGCCTTCGTCCTCTTCTTCTTCTTCCTTCCAGCTGTAGGCCTGCAGCAGCCGGGGTGTGCGGCAGCAGCGGCAGCAGTGGCCCGGAGGGGTCTCTGGGGAGCCCTCAGTCCCCCGCTGGGATCGCTCGGAGCTGCTGCTGCTGCCGCCCCCCTTACCGGGAGTCTCGGAGCCCTGCAGGGCCGCAAGCTCCCGGGCCCGATTCTCCGTCTCCCGGTAGATGCGCCAGTAGAGTGTGCACATGACCGTGACTGGGAGGTAGAAGGCAGCCATGGCTGTGCCAAAGGTGATGATGGGTTGGGAGAGGAACTGGATGTAGCATTGCCCGGCCAGCACTGTCCGCTCCCCTACCAGGTACTGCCAAAAGAGGATGGCCGGGGCCCAGAGGATGAAGGAGACCAGCCAGGCCAGGCCGATCATCAGGGCTGCCCGGCGGGGTGTGCGCTTGGCTCTGTAGCTCAGGGGCCGGGTCACGGAGAAGTAGCGGTCAAAACTGATGAGCAGCAGGTTCATGACGGAGGCATTGCTAGCCACGTAGTCCAGGGCCAGCCAGAGGTCGCAGGCCAGTGTGCCCAGCGCCCAGTGGCCCATGAGCAGGTACGTGGTATAGAGGTTCATGGAGAAGGTACCAATGATGAGGTCAGCACAGGCTAGGCTGAGCAGGAAGTAGTTGTTGACTGTCTTGAGCTCAGTGTTGACCTTGAAGGAGATGAGAACCAGCAGGTTGCCTGTCACTGTGGCCAGGGACAGGAGGCCTGTGGTGATCCCGATGAAGGCCACTTGCCAGGGACCCTTTCCCGGTGCCAGAACGGTGATGTTGGGGCTGACAGCAGGTGGGGCCGAGGTATTCATGGTGGCCCGGTGGGGCTTGGGGCCGGGCGGGGGGCAGCCCCTTCTTCTAGTCAGACTACAGGGCTTCTTCAGGGGGAGGTCATCACCTGAAAAGAGATGACATGGACTTTGGTTGGGCTGCTGGTCATCTCCAGGTGGAAGGTGCTAGGGTCACAGTCTCTGCCTTCTCAGGGCTTTAGGCCAGACATCACCCTTTCTCACCAGTGGCCACACACCATCATTTACAGTGCACTTTCCCAGCCGTGAATGGATGTGCCAGCAGCACTGGGGCAGAAGTGGTTTGGAATCGAGATGGAGTCCCTCCTTCCAGTTTCACCATTCAGACTCTGAGCCTCAATTTTCTCATTGGGAAATTGCTACTAATTCCTGTCTTGCTTAACTCATATGGCAGGAGTTGGGAGACTCGCTTTGTATACAGCACTGCCAAATTTTCAAAGCACTTCACTCAATTTTATTAAAGCTCTCATTTACTAGGTAGTTACTACATGCCAGACACAGCACTAGCACTTAATTGAATTATCTAATTTAACTGTTGTACATCTCTAGGAGGAAGGTCTCTTATGCTCCTCATTTCCCTGAGGCAACTGTGGCTCCAAGCAGCTACAAGACCTGGCCACAGTGACAGAGGAGGTGAGTGTGATTAGAACCCACACCTCTCTCTTCCTCTGAGCATGTGGAGCTCCAGCAGGCTTCTTCCATCAAATATGGAGAGATGGGAAGGCAGGAGATGGGTGGGGAGGGCTCTAGAGAAGATAGGGGGAAGGAGGTGTATGTTGGTGTGTCTGCATGGTTCCGTGTGTGTGTGCGCGCGTGTGTGTGACCGAGACAGAAATAGAAAGAGAGAGAGAGGAAATGAGAGAGTTGGAGGGCAGTGTTTGGAGCTAAATGAGACCCTATAGGAGGGCAGCGGGGGGACTTGTGCTGGACCTGAACTCCTGCCTGGTAGTAGAAAGTCTGGAGTGAAAGCAGGTAGTGAGGGCAAGGGTCTCAGTTCCCAGTGGGGGTCTGGCCCCAGGTGAGGTGTGAGAACCCCCTTCTGTCTCCCCACTCTGTTCTTTGGTCCAAGGACCCAGGGGGACAGCAAGGGGAAAGGGAAGATCCCCTATATTTTTCTTTTTTTTTAAAAAAAGATTTTATTTATTTATTCATGAGAGACAGAAAGAGAGAGACAGAGACACAGGCAGAGGGAGAAGCAGGCTCCCTGCGGGGAGCCTGATGTGGGACTCGATCCTGGGACTCTAGGATCCCACCCTGGGCTGAAGGTGGGCACTCAACCGCTGAACCACCCAGGCCTCCCTCTCTACATTTTTCTTGAAACTTGAGTCCAGCCTGGGCACTAAAGGTGGGTAAAGGGAAAAGCCAGATCTCTGAGCAACCTTCTGGTGATGGGGTTGCTCAGCGCCTGCCCTCCCCTGCCTCATGCTCAGCCACAGCCTTGCTGTTGTATGTTTTGGCTGGTCCCTTCCTGTTCTGGGCCTCAGGTGTCTATCTGTCCACAGAAGAGTTGGGGTCTTCTCCCACCTGCAGCTATGGCTTCAGGGGCTGTGTCATTGGAACTATTCCAAGGGAGAGATGTCAGGCAAGGGCCCACCAGCCTCCGGTGCTCCTCAGGACCAGGTCTGTGGCAGAGAGACTAGTGTGCTGTATGCCTGTGAGGAGATCGATGCCTGTTGGGGGGGCGGGAGAGGGCCTTGAGGTGCATGGCTGGGACAGTGTGTGACCGAGGGTGTGTGGTGGAGCTCATCTCCGCTGGTCATGGTGTTGGTGTTTGAGAGGGACTCTTTGGAGTGTGAATGAATGAGCCAGAAGGACTGTGGCTATGAGTGTGTGCCTGTGTTTTGGGCAGTTTGCACATCAAGGAGACAGGGGACATCATGGTGGAAGAGTCTGGACAGCGTGAGCTGGACTGTCTCCATTTGAATACAGGCTCTACCATTTACTACCTGCCGGTGGTATACTTTCCATGAGCCTCGGTTTCCTCAGCTGAAAAATGGGAATGACTAGTCCCTAGCTAATAAATCAAGGAATTATTGTGAAGCCGAAATGGGTCTATGGGCGTTGAGTCCCCAGGACAGGCCTGGCACATGATGAGCACTAGGTCCCCGTTGACTCTTAGCATGTGTACTAGTGGAGGCTCCCTCCTGTGAATGTCTGCTTTTTTTTTTATTTTTAAGATTTATTTATTTGAGGGGAGAGGGATAGGGAGAAGGAGAGAAAAAGAATCCCAAGTAGAACCCCTGCTGAGCATGCAGCCCAATGCAAGGCTTGATCCCAGGACCCTGAGACCATGACCTGAGCTGAAATCAAGAGTTGGATGCTTAATTGACTGAGCCACTCATGTGCTCCAAGTGTCTATTCCTTTGATTAAAAATTTCTCAGGGTAGCCTGGGTGGCTCAGTCAGTGGAACATGTGACTCTTGATCTTGGGGTCATGAGTTCGAGCCCCACGTTGGGCATAGAAATCACTTAAATAAATAAACTTAAAAGAAATTTCTAGGGATGCCTGGGTGGCTCAATGGTTGAGTGTCTGCCTTCAGCTCAGGGCATGGTTCAGGAGACGCAGGACAGAGTCCCACCGCGTCAGGCTCCACTGGAGGAGCCTGTTTCTCCCTCTATGTCTCTGCCTCTCTCTCTGTGTCTCTCATGAATAAATGAATAAAATCTTAAAAAAAAATTTCTAATACTATGACAATAGCAACTAATAATGATAATGATCATTGCTATTATTCAGTTCTCCTTGAGTGGCAGTCACTGCTCAAAGTGCTTATGTGCATTATTGCCTGTAATCTTCACCGGGCACCTGTGACTGAGGTTGCTCTTCTCTCCATTTCACAGGTGAAAAACTGAGGTTGAAAAAAGCAAGAGAATGGCACAGTATCACACAGGTAAGGTAGGAACCAAGATCTGAGCCCAAGCTGTTTGTGCCAATGAAACTTTATCTATAAAAACAGATGGCTGGCCTGGAGGCCACAGTATGCCAATTTAAATTTTATTTTTTAAATTGTATTTATTGAGACACCTCCTCACAGGGAGCCTGCTTCTCCCTCTGCCTATGTCTCTGCCTCTCTCTCTGTGTCTCTCATGAATAAATAAATAAAATCTAAAAATAAATAAATAAATTGTATTAATTTATTTTTGTAATAATCCCTACACCTAACACGGTGTCAAAGTCATGATCATGAGGTCAAGAATCATGTTCTCTTCTGATTGAGCCAGCCAGTGAATATTAAAGGTTTTTTTTTTTTTTTAAGATTTTATTTATTCATGATAGTCACACAGAGAGAGACAGAGAGGCAGAGACACAAGCAGAGGGAGAAGCAGGCTCCATGCAGGGAGCCCGACGTGGGAGTCGATCCTGGGTCTCCAGGATCACACCCCGGGCCAAAGGCAGGCGCCAAACCGCTGCGCCACCCAGGGATCCCGCCAATTTGAATCTTAAAAATATTATGCTGAAATATTATTTGGCCTGCTTACTGAGTTTTGCTGCATCCTTTTCCCATAACCAAAGTAAAGTGCTGGGCTGGAGGCTGGCATCAGACTGTGCCTGCTGGGGCTTTCTCTGGGTATGACACCACCCATGACAGGGTTGCCCTGCACAACTCTTGTCCCTCTGATCTGAACTTAGTGGTGTTGTTGTGGTTGTTGTTTTAAAGATTTTTGTTTATTTATTTGGGGGAGAGCCAGAAAGAGAGAGAGAATGAGCATGGGATCAGAGGAGAGAGAGAAGCGGGGAGCCTGACGCTTGATCCCCTGACTCTGGGGTCATGACCTGAGCCGAAGGCAGGTGCTTAACTGACTGAGCCACCCAGGTGCCTGAACTCAGGGCTGTTTAGTGCCAATTACACAGACAGAGCAACTGAGGTCCAGAGTAAAGGGAGAAGTTATGGTATATCCCAAAGTCTCCTAGCTCATAGCCTGGTGCTGCCTCCCTTTCCTGATCCTCAACCTCTGGTGCTTTGGGACCAGTGGTTCCCCGGGCCAAGATCTGAAAAGCCTGAGTCAGACAAGATGAGTTTGCTGACCTCAGAGGCCACACCCTCGGCAGCTCCAGGAGCATCCTGTCTGCCTGGGCGCGGCGCAGCCCTCAATGCAGTGCCAAGGCCTCCAGTGTCGGATCTGGTCCCACACCGCAGCAGGGCCAGGCCTAGGAGGACCTAAGGGAGACAGTTTTGCCTTGGGTGTAAAATTTGAGGTACCCCCAAACTCAGTAGTCAAGAAAATGATATTTAATGCAATATTTAAAAAATGGGGGGATCCCTGGGTGGCTCGATGGTTTGGTGCCTGCCTTTGGCGGAGGGCATGATCCTGGAGACCCAGAATCGAGTCCCACACCGGGCTCCTTGCATGGAGCCGGCTTTTCTCTCTGCCTGTGTCCCTGCCTCTCTCTCTCTCTCTCTCTCTCTGTGTTTCTCATGAATAAATGAATAAAATCTTAAAAAAAAAAAAAAAGGGATGCCTGGGTGGCTCAGTGGTTGAGTGTCTGCCTTTGGCTCAGGGCATGATCCTGAGGTTCTAGGATTGAGTCCCGCATCAGGCTTCTCCCTTTGCCTATGTCTCTGCGTCTCTCTCTTTGTGTCTCATGAATAAATAAATAAAATCTTTAAATAAATAAATAAATAATGGAAATTGATAGGGCGCTTGGCTGGCTCAGTTAGAAGAGCCCGTGACTCTTGATCTCAGGGTTGTGAGTTCGAGCCCCATGTTGGGTGTAGAGATTACATTAAGAAAAAAAGAGGGGATCCTTGGGTGGCTCAATGGTTTAGCACCTGCCTTAGGCCCAGGGTGTGATCCTGGGGTCCCAGGATCGGGTCCCACGTTGGGCTCCTTGCATGGAACCTGCTTCCCCCTCTGCCTGTGTCTCTGCCTCTTTCTCTCTCTCTCTGTGTGTCTCTCATGAATAAATAAATAAAATCTTAAAAAAAAAAAGGAAATTGATGCAAAACAATCCATCATGAACAAAATTTTAAACAAAGGCAGGGTTCAACCCTGCACTTACACAAACAATCCTATCACACATGACTCACCCTGATCCTGGCCCTGGTTCCAATGAAACTTTATTTACAAAAATAGATGGCCCGCCTGTGGGCTGCCTGGTTTGCTGTTTGATTGTGTTTTTTTTTTTTTTTTTTTTTTTGCTAGTTGATTTTTAAAAATGTTACATTTCAATGTTAGTTACCTTGATGAGTGAGTTTTGTGTGTGTCCTCCCTCTAAACTGTCTCTTCCCAGCAGTGTGATCCTCAGCAATCATTTAACCTGTCCTTCCCTGGCCTCTCTGCATCTGCCAGTTTATGGGACTAATGGCATCCAAAGCCTCTCCCCACTTATTCCTGGCTCCTCATTCTGATCCATAGCCCAGCCACCTCTTGCTGCGCCCTTCAGCTTACAGACTCTGGCATAGCCCCTCTCTAGGCCCCAGAGTTCTTGTTTATTTTTTCTTCTTCTTTTCTTTTTAAAAATGTATTTAGGGGGACTGTGGTGGCTCAGTGGCTGAGTGTCTGCTTTTGGCTCAGGGTGTGATCCCAGGTCCTGGGATCGAGTTCCACACTGGGCTCCCTGCATGGAGCCTGCTTCTCCCTCTGCCTACATCTCTGCCTTTCTCTCTGTGTCTCTCATGAATTAAAATAATTATAATTTTTAAATAATTATAAAATAATTATTTAAATTTATTATTTTTAGAAAAAGAAAGCTCTACACTCAGTGCAACCCCAGGATCAAGGGTTGAAGTTCCACCAACTGAGCCAACCAGGCACCCCTCAGATTACTCATTTGTACAGAAGGGGACTTGGACTAGCTTGGCAGGTGGGGAGATTTTCCAGAGCCCTGATACGGGACCCAAATCCTTGAGTGGAGGGTGCAGAGACTGAAGGCTCATTTGGGTTCTCCCAGATGGGGTTGGAATGACATCTCCTTGGGGTGGGGACATAGCAACCTCTGTCCATCACAAGCTCTTATTAAAGCTAGCTATAGGGGATCCCTGGGTGGCGCAGCAGTTTGGCGCCTGCCTTTGGCCCGGGGCGCGATCCTGGAGACCCGGGATCGAATCCCACGTCGGGCTCCCAGTGCATGGAGCCTGCTTCTCCCTCTGCCTGTGTCTCTGCCTCTCTCTCTCTCTCTCTCTGTGTGTGTGACTATCATAAATAAATAAAAATTTAAAAAAAGCTAGCTATAGCTTTGATGAGTTTAATTAAAATTTTTTTTTAATTTATTTGAGAGAGGGAGAGTGAGAGAGCATAAGCAGGGGGAGGAGCAGAGGGAGAGGGAGAAGCAGGCTCCCCGCTGATTATTAGGGAGCCCGATGCAAGGCTCCATCCTAGGACCCCAGGATCATGACCTGAGCCAAAGTCAGCAGCTTAACCAACTGAGCTACCCAGGCGCCCCTAGCTTTGATGAGTTTTAAAAAGGCTTTCAGGATGGGGACCTATGAGAAGTGATCCTTGGAGGTAAGAGGGCCGGCAGTCCCTCTCCTTAATGGGTAGAAGTCCCTTCCTCTCACTCATTTTAATAGCCACACTGATGACCACTATAATTAATTACCTTTTGCATGCTGGGAAGTTGATATATGATATCATTTCCTTTAATCCACAGGGCATCCCAATGGGGATTCTTCTCTCTATTTCATAGATGAAGACACTGAGGCCAATGGGGCTAAGAGACTTGCTGATGGTCTCACAGGAAGTGGTGGAGCTGGGATTCTATGGGGCCCTACAGGCTCCGACGTATACATTCCTTCTACTTCCCTTTATACCCCCCTGTGAGCTGTAGGGGCTAATGTCTCCCATCTGGGACAACTTGGAGGCGGGTGGTGGTTCTGGGGAATTGGACCCTGATTTTTGCCACTGCCTGGATATTTTTTTTTTAAGATTTTATTTATTTATTCATAGAAACACAGAGAGAAAATGAGAGGCAGAGACACAGGCAGAGGGAGAAGTAGGCTCCATGTAGAGAGCCTGACATGGGACTCGATCCAGGGTCTCCAGGATCACACCCTGGGCTGTAGGCGGCACCAAACCACTGCACCACCAGGGCTGCCCTGCCTGGATCTTTTGAACCCCTAGGATGTAGCCCAAGAACAGAGCTGTCAATAACTGTGCCTTTTTTCCACCATCAGCAGCAAGGGTCTTCCCCCAAACCTCTCTTGGACAGTGATTTGCTTAGGAGGATGCTCCTGGTGGCTCTGCTTTGGTCCCTGCTGTATGACCTTGGGCACGTCACTGTCCCAACTTCATAATCCTTCTGTAGGGATGACTGTATGTGTGTGTGAGGGTGTGTGCATTGCTGAGTGAAAATAAGAAATGGTGGGGGTGGGGGTGTAACTTTGAGGGGATGGAGTAGGACTCATTTTCTGAGGGTCTCATGTCTGGGGTACCAGAAGGAGGCAATGAAGCAGGGAGGTGCTTTTCTGCTTAGGACCATGGCCTCCTGATGAAGGCTGTTGGCAGCTTTGCATAATATCATTAGTTTTATCATAGCAAGTGGCATTTACTGACTGCTTACCATATACCAGACACGGCTCTACGCATTATATTCGTGATTTAATTGACCTGTTACAACTCCTTGTGAAGCGGGTTTTATTAACCTCAATTTGCAAAAACGACAGCTGAGGTTTTGAGACCTTAAGGTCCTGACAGCTCATCAGTGAGGCAACTGGGATTTAGGCCTTTTGGACCCCTGCCCACTATAAATCCCTCATATGAGAATGGTGGGCCCCACGGACTCCTCGTTCACCTTGACTGACCTGGCCAACCCATAGTTTGAGTCACTGAGGACTCGGTCCTTCCTTTAGAATCTGGCCCCTGTGTGTTGTGTATGCATGTGTGTGTGTGACAGTGTCTGTTGTTGATCTGTGTGATGTATGATGACAGTGCCATGGGAAGGGGGAGGCCTAGCTGTAGCTCTGAGAAGCAGGGTAGGGGCTGTATCTGCCTCATTCACTGCTTGGCACACATGGTCACTCAATAAATATCTGTGGGGTAAACACAGGGAGATATGCATGGGGTCCTTCTGTTTGACTTCAGGCTTAGAGGCATGAGGATGAACCCACAGGGGTCAGGCTCCAGAGTATGGGCACCCTGCACCTTCCAGTTCTTGCCTCCCCTCCCTTGCCAAGTCACTATCTCCTCACCTGTAAAACGGACCAAGGAGACCCTGACTCCCCTGCTGCAGGGAAACTGAGGGAGGTGACAGGACTGGCACGGGTGTAGGATGGGCCCTGTCAGTGTCAGGGAAGGAAAAAGTCGGCCTGGGCTTAAAGAGTTAAGGGATGAGGTCAGAGCCTCTAGAACAGCAGGCTAGATTGTCTATGGCCAGAGCCTTGGACCAATCCCCAGGGGCTGGGGATCTGGCTGGCCAGAGGAAGAAGGGGGCTGGGAGCCATCGCTGGGGAGAGGGATTCCTGAACACTTGGGCTTCCTGAATGTCGCCACTGGCCAAGTTGTGAAGGGGAGACGGAGAATGAGGGGGTGCTGGGGAAGAGATTCAGGAGGAAGAGCGAAGCCATCTTGTGATTCTGGGCCTGGATGTTGGCAGAGCGTGGGGAATAGCTGGAGAGAATGGGCGATACTTGACGAGAAGGAGGTAGGAGGTAGGGGCTGCAGGGCTGGGCTTCTGGGACTTTACATATGCAGACAGGAGGGCGCTCCTCCGGCCAGGTCTTCTGACTGGTCCCTTCTGCTGGAGGCTAAATCCCGAAGCCAGCCTGTCAGAGGCGGCTCTCTCCCCCTGGGTTAACTTTTCTCTAGAAGTAGCTCTTGACCCATGAAAGGAACACAAAACTCTTACCTCTGTGCCTGGCCTGGGGAATGAGGGGGTAAACACATGCAATCTTTCACATTTCCAGGCTCAACAGTTACCACCGGAGTGGCAGCTAGCCCTGGGGAGATCAGCAGGCATCAGTTGAATACTCATAAATGTGCTGCCGAGCCGGAAGAGGAGCAGGAGCGTCAGCCCTAGAACCACTGCCAAATACACTCACTGCTGATGGACTTTAACCAGTTGCCTGACTTCAGCCAAACCATGCCAGAGCCAGCAGTCAGCAGGCTGGGCCCCAGACCTCACTCTGCCAGGTGGCATCAGCAGTGCTCCACCCCTCATCATCCTCTCCACTTGCTCCCTATTCTTCCATCCTCGACTTCTCCTCCTCATTTCCTTTCTTCTCGCTCCCTCCCTCCCCCATCCTTCTAGGCATCACCATGGCATCACAGCAGAGCAGAAACCTCAGCGAGATATTCACCCACCTCTCCCCGCCCGCCCTCCCCTCCGGAGGAGAAGCTCCTGCCTCACAGCGCTCGCTGCTCCCCCACCCCATCATCTTGCTGTGTGTTGGGGGGGTGGGAGTGCAGTGCTGAACTGAGGGTGAGGGGAATGGGGTCCCTCCTGGGCTGGGACCCTTCTGAGACCATAAGCATGTCCCTTCTCCTTCCTTGGCCTCAATCTCTCCATCTGTTCAATGGGAAGGTTTCTTTTAAGGGCTGATGTGACCTCTGCCCAACCCCATCTTGGCACTCTGGACTCCTCTTTGCACTTGGGGATCTAGTTCTCAGACCTCCAGGGCCCGGGCCCCCGAGACAAGAGACAAGTTTTCTGCAGCCCTGTTTCGCCATCCCCTCCCCTGCCTTCTATATCTCAGTAGGGATCATGGCTTGCCTAGTGGCTGAGGTCAGGGGGCAGAGAACTAACTCTTATCTGACAGCTCAGTGAGCAGCTGATTACCCAGGGACAGGAGACTGTCCGGCTATAGGAGACAATCTGACTCCTTCCGGCCAGTTGGGCAGGGGTGGGGGGGTGGGTTGTTGTTGGTGGTTGGGTCAGCCTGAGTGGAGCTGTAGGTATGTTTTGTGGCAAGAGGTGAATCCCTCTCATTAGCACTGATAACCCAGAAGCAGCACTTATCTGAATGACCCAATGAGGGCTGACCACCCAGTTCCTAGCTACCAGCCTACATTGTGGAGTCTGGGGGTACTGAGATGGGGGCCTGCATGGGTGCCCATTAGTATCCCTACATGACCAGGACACAGGACTGAGATCTACTCTGTGGGAGTCCAAGACACTGTGGACCTAGGGAGGGCCCTCTGGGCCCTTGCACACATCAGGGCCACGTTCCCTGGCTGGTGTGGCCTTCCATGTGGCCATTTGTTCCCTGAGAGCCCTGGAGCTCTTGGCCTGGTCTCCTGCTGGCTTCTGGCCTAATACCCACCTTGGCATCCAGCTTGTCCATCTGGCCAGCAACCTGATTCAGTCCATCTTGGGGGGACTGGAAATGGATGGGGTGGTGGGATTCAGGGTTCCCTGAAGGAGAAGAGGAGGAGATTCTGGGACTGGCACCCCAATGTCGAAGGGGGGGTGTCAACCTCCCACGGGATGCTGGTGGCAAGGGCTGCCCTCTGGCCTCCTACCCTTTCCACTCTGTCCCTGGGATTCTGGGTCCTCTGTCTGCTACGTAGCAGCTTAATCTCTCTGAGCTCCAGGTCCAGTTTCCTAAGGGGGGGGGGGGGTCTCCATCGCCTTTGCCAGCTGAACTCCAGAAAAACATCAGGTGTATCTGCTCAAAGCCACGAGACTGGGTGTTTGGAGCAGCCAGTTCCAATGCTACAGAGTCCCCTTGGCTTCGAGACCCCTCCTGGGCCCCCTCCTCTCTCTGGAGTTCCTCCCCATTTCCTGCTAGTCCTGGTCTCTGCTTTGCTCCCAGGACCCTGCTTTTTCCGCCCCCGCCTCAGTGGAGCCCCTCCCAAACCCTCTCAAATGTACTCACCATGGATCTGGAGAAGGGTCTGTAGGATCCTCAGCCCCACTGCCTTCCCGGGGGGCCGGCGGCGTCTCCAGGGACCCAAACACCTGGCTCCGGGGGGGGGGGGGAGCTGCGCCCTGTGCTGGCAGCCGGGAGAGGCACAGCCAGTGATTGGCATGTCCCACCCCCTGGCACGCCAGCCTGGGGGGGGTGGAAGGAGGAGAGCAAAGAGAGGGAGGGAGGAGAGAGAGAAAAGGAAGGGAGGGGGAGCTGGAGGGAAGCCTCAGGCAGCGTCTGGGGTTGGACCAGGTCCTGGAGCGTGCCCCCCCCTCCACTAGGGCACCTAATTTGAGCCCCAAGAGGGAGGAGGTAGGACATGAGGAAAATGAGCCCAGGAAGGCTAAAAGTCCAGAATGGGAGAGAAGGCGGATACAGGGAGACAAACACCCACACCCACTGCACACAGACTCATCGGTACACACACACACACACACACACACACACACCCTCACAAAGGCACACTGTTTCCTGGGGCTCCTTCCCTCACCCAACCTTAGAGCCCCTAACCCATGTGCACCATGCCCCAACGCTCATGCCCCGGCATTCACACGCCTGTTTCCCTCACATACATGCCCTGCCCCCTGCACATGCCCACACGCCCACCCACCCACCCACCCACCCAGCCCCACACCCTGCTCTTCCTCCCTGCTGCGAAGGAGCTAGATTCCTTCTGTTTGGAAATGACACATTGGGCCTCACGTGAGAGGCTCCAACTTGGAACAGACCCAGAGGGCTGGTGCACCCGCCCCAGGGGCTGGGCAGACGTCCCCGTGTGCTGGGCTGCGTGCTCTGGCGTCTGTCCATGCTGCTAACCCGGGTGTGAGGGTATATGGGGGTCTGATGGGAAGGGATGAGTGGGGGGTCGTGTGCCCACCACACGTGCTGCTGAGTGTCCCCTCCCACGTGAGTGTCCCTGAAATACCATGCAACCTGTGTAAATGCAGGTGTCACCCTCCTGGTCTGGAACCAGGACGTGTGTATACACGTGTGTCTGTATTCGGTGTGTGTCTGAGTGTTGCCCAACTGTGGAACTTGCTAATTCTGACAAGGGAGGCAGCCTCTACCTCCCTGCCTGCTCCACCCCCAGCTTCCACTTGGAAGACAGACAGACAGGCAGACAGACAGCTCTCCTCCCAGCTTGTCAAACTCTGTCTCCCCTGACTCCCACTCAGGGCTCACAGGTGTGTACCTGGGAAGTGACAAACTTGCCCTTCTTCCCCAACTCCTTTAGCCCCACTGCTTGGTTAATACCCCCTGCACCACTCCTCACCTTTTCTGGTTTTCTGGTTGAGTTTCCTCAGGGATAGAACCCCTGGGGGCCCTTTACCATAGAGACTGTGGGTTCTGCACCGCCCTCACCTGGCCCTAGAGACCTCCTGGGGAGCTGACCAGGGACAGGAGCTGGGGAGACTTCTGCTGGGCTGCCCCCTGGGCCATGATGCCCCCCTGGGCCATGCTGAAGCTCTGGGGTGGAAGGTAGGATGGACAGGGATCCATCTATTTAATCCCATTATGCAGATGAGAAAACTGAGGAGCAGAGGCGTGATTCACACACGGGGCGCAAATGTTTGGACTCAGGTCCAGTGGCTCTAAGCCAGGGAGTGGGCACCTGCTCCATCACTTTCCACCTGCCCATTTCCCCACCAAGCACCCCTTCTCATTCCCAAAACCTGAGGGTAACCCAGGGCTTCCTCAGGCTGGAGCCCAGGTGCCAACGGAACCAGGTGGAACAGAAACTGGGGTCCCTGGGGCTTCACCAGCAGCCATTGGAGGCAGGTGGTGGGCACACGTGGCAGGTACATGTGGGGGATCTCTGCTTCTCTAAGCCAGCTGAGGGTTGAGCAAGCAACCAGTCCACCTCCTTTCTGAAGTTGAGGAGACACTGCAGCTTGGAGAGGAATCCTAGCAACCCCCTCGCACCCCAGGGCCCACCAGCGGGTCAGGGGTGGGGTCAGAACTCCACCAGTCCCCAGTCCGTGGGCGCTGACTCGGGCTGCCCCCTGCTGGGCGGTCCTCGGGTTGTGGTCGCGGCTGCGGCTGGTGCGCGCGGTGGGGCTGCGTGTACTTGTGCGCGTACACGTGGCTGAGTGTGGGGGTGTCAGGCCTCCACGCTCCACATCCATTTCCGAGTCTGAATCAGGCTCTCTCCTTGCCCCCTCCCCCCAATCTCCTTGGTCTCCCTTTTCTCTTCTCCCACCGCCTCTGCACACGTCCCTTTAGAAATAAAAACACTTATTTTGTAGGCGAGAGGGAAGGGTGTCCAGCTTTCCCTTGCCTCTTCATGAGTGCCCCCTCGGTCCCAGGCGGCTTCCTCCCTGAGGCCGTGAAGCCGCGGAGGCAGGGGGATGATGCCCACCCCCTCTCCCTCCAGCCTGTGTGACTCTTGCCCGCCCAGACTTGGCTCGGTCCCCTTCCCAGATGGGGAAACTGAGGCAGGAAGGGAGGTAGGGCCAGGAGCAGCTCTCCCACCCGGCTCTCTCACCGCCCCCGCACCCGCGCCGGATTTAGCCGCAGGGAGGCTGGGAACATTGTCTTTATTTTAAGCTGCCGAGTGAGGCACGAACGCTGCTGCTCGCGACAAAGGGCTCGGCTAAGCAGCCGCAGGCGGCGCACGTGGGGGTCCGGCCCCACCCCCGCTCGACCCCCAGCCGGCGGGAGCGGCCCGGCCTGACCTCAGCCACTTTCCGCTTCTCTCTGGCCGGCTGGGACGCCGGCTGGCGCGGGACACCTGCGGCTCGGCTCCTGCTGGTTGCTATTTTGGGGCTCTTGGCTGAGGATTCACGGCTCCGGGCCACCGAAGGGACGCGGGGCTGTCCGCGCGCGCGGGGCTGGGCCCCTTCTCTCAGCCTCACGTGGAGGAGGAGAGAAGCTGCCCTTGGGTGCGATTCCAACTCTGCCTCTTCCCAGCTGAACCTCTCTGAGCAAGTTAGTGCCCCTCTCTAGGTCTTTTTCTTCGTCCTTGTCACTGGAGTTAGACCTCCCCGCGGGGCTGGTCGACCCTTGGTTGCAGGTTAAGCGTGGCAGGTCGTTCACTACCCGCGAAAGCCATGATCGTCGTTATTTATAACTCGTATGGCGACTTACTACGTGCCGGGCGCTGCTAATCGCTCTACATTCTTTAGCTGGGGTATCTCTCACGACTCCCCGAGGGAGTTTCTATTATTCCCATTTTACAGATGAGTAGGTTCACCCGTGGCGCGCAACCCCAGGGCTCCGTGGAGGGTGCAGTCAGCGCGTCTGGGGCCATCCCCGGGCTGGGGTCAGGGTGGGAGTCACAGGGAATGATAGGGACCTGTCGTGGTACGTGGGGCAGCGTGCATGTTTTAAATTTTAAAGGCAGGGGATCCTGCCTGAGGGCTGCGTGGGGGTGGGGACAGGAAGTGAGCGCGCTCAGGGAGTGTGCTGGTGCTGGTGCTGGTGCTGGAGCTCTGCGCCGGCAGCCCCTCCGTGTAAA